TCGGATACCACGAAGTGGCAGCGCCATAGAGGTCACATTAAGGAGCCATGACAGCCTGACTCGGTCGGCGACTCAGCACAGGCACACCAGGCTGACTTCATGGTTCGCGTTATCTCGTCGGTTGACGATCCTCTTAGTCACGGCTTTTATTGTACCGTGATAGTTTCCAGTGCCTCGGGTTTTTTTGTAGTGAAGAGGGTCCCCTAAGCCGTCAACCTTATTCTCTATTCCCAGGCCCCAGCCACCGTCCGAGCCTGTCAGTTTACTTGTACGTCTACACGTACCCCGTACATGATCTGACCCTCTAAACGCAAGCACCGGACTTTCACACATCATATCTCACATGCACGAGAGTTCCGGAAGTCATGTTAAAAGGAAGCCGTTGCAGCCTGACTTTCAGACTGTTAGTCAGATACTACACCCAATCAGACATTGAGCTGACTGGGCGGTTTGAGCTCCATCGTCAGTTGGCAACCTTCCAAGCCATGACGCTCAGCGCACCGTGTGTTTCGGGCTTGCATCATACATGTAGCGGAGAAACCCCATGGATAAGAAGCGGAGGATCATACCTACCTCTCACGTGAGGGGTGCTAGTTGCAATCATGCGTTGTATGATATTGGACGTCGTTTTCCGTGGTGTTATACCGTAGGTGTTCATGGAGGCGCATATGGCCTAATAGGCTCATGCAGTGAGTGAATATGCTTGAACAGTGCGGCTGGTTGCAGTGGGTGCATGTTGGTGATCCTGGCAATTATTCGCCTGTCTTTGTGTAGTAGATTTGTAAGTGACTGACCAAATCTGTACGTGATGTTTATGTGTGGTGGAAGTAAGGGTAGGATAGGTTGGGGTTACTACTGGTCGTCGTACTGCTAGGTGAGGTATTGCTAGTGCTGAGAATTGAAAAGCTGTCGGGTATGCAGGATGAGTTTAGAGTGTCAGCATTGAACAAACTCATAAAGGACTGATGTTTGTCCATTCCTGAGTAAACGAGTGGACTGTTTGAACCGATGTAGTCATTCCAGTTCCCCGAAAACAATGCGCGAAGTTTCAGATGGAATATATATTTATTGCACCGGTGCACAGCTGACGTCGATGATTACACGAACAGGGCAGAGCTGTTCGTAAGGGCCTCACAAGTTACTGACTGGTTCCTGTACAAGCGTGGGTGCGCTTCCTGTTATGTACTTCAGTTCTGCACCATAAAACGAGGATTGCGGAGCGTGTCGGTCCTCACGGACACAGTGGCACGAACGGTGATGTCTAAATCGGACATTTTCATAATGTTCTTTTGGAATTTTGCGAAAAGCCGCGCAGACTGCCTGTTTAAGGTTGTCTCTTCCGGCGCTTTGGCTAACAAACTAGACACCAGAGTAGTGATGGCGAACGAGTTAAGTGATTAGCATTCCAGTGGCACCACTCCAGTCGTTTATACTCAGACTGAATTCCCCTGCTTACCTCACCATGCATGTGTTTATTAATGCTTTCTCTTCTCCTTCTTCTTTTAGACCGACTTTTATGAAAATCTGAAGCACAAGATTGAAGAACTTCCCTCAGTTGCCATTCTCATCAACAACGTCGGCGTCTCATACTCTCATCCAGACGCCCTGGCCAAATGTGAAGAGCTGACTCTCGAGAAACTGCAGAAAATGGTTGTCTGCAACGTAACATCAACGACCTGCATGACCCGCATTACCCTACCAAAGTTGCTGGCCTCACCGCCACCGGCTGGAGTCCACCGCCACATTGTCAATATTGCCTCCCAGTCCGGCTGTTTTCCCACCCCCTACCTTTCTGTTTACGCTGGTACCAAGGCCTTTGTAATCAATTTTACGGCCTCGTTAGCTGGGGAATTAGTAGGCTCCTGCGTTAAGGTGCAGACTATTTCGCCCGGCTTTGTGTCGACGAACATGTCGGGTATCAAACGTCCGAGTTTCTTTGCACCCTCGGCTTCCACATTTGCGGCGTCAGCTCTGTCGATGCTGGATGTGGCAAGCGAG